GATCAGTCCTAAACACATGTCACAAAAACACCAGTAAATGGAATGGATTTGGGGCACTAAATACATGTGTGTGTGTGTATGTGTGTGTGTGTGTGTGTGTGTGTGTGTGTATTTATTAAATGTATGCATGTATATGTAACAATAATCAAAGAGGATAAGAAATTGATAGTGAGTGGGAGAAACATTAAAGGAGTTTGGAGGGGAAGTGGGAGGGGTGGAAATCATGTAAATACAATACCTTCTGTAAAAGATTCTCAGAATTTTTTAAATGAATTAAAATTTTTTTCAAAGAGTAGGTAAACAAAATCAGGGATAAAATTAATGAAACAAAAATAATTACAAAGAATCAATGAAACAGAGAATTGGTTCTTTGAAAAGATTAACAAGTTTGACAAACCTTTAGCCAAATTAACCAAAAGAAACAGGATGATCCAAATTAATAAAATCAGAGATGAAAAGGAAAACATTATAACACTGAGGAAATTTAGAAAACCATAAAGGAGATACTTAAAAAATATGTATTCCATTAAACTGGAAAAATCTAAAATAAATGGATGAAATTCTAGATATATACAGCCCACAAAATGTAAATGAAGATAAAATAATTAAAGTAGAGCTATCACATCTAATGCAAGTAAATCAGTAAGTATTTCCAAACTTAAAAGAGCCCATGACCAGATAGAGTTAGTGCAGAATTCTACTAGTCATTCAATGAGGAACTAATACCAATGCTCCTCAAATTCTTCTATAAAAGAGAAAATGTAGGAACACATTCAAATTCTTTGTACAAAGCCAGTATTATTCTAATGCTGAATAACCACACAAACCAAACACACAATAAAAAGAAAAATATAGTCCAGTCTCCATAATGAACAGAGATACAAATATTCTCCATAAAACACTTGCAAATTTAACTCAAATATACATCCAAAACATCATCCACTATATTCAAGTTAGATTTATTGCAGAGATGCAGGGATGATACACACATGGGAACAAATAAATCCAATACACCACATAAGCCATTTCAAGGACAGAAACTACATGATAATCTCATTAGATAGAGACAGGCTTTTGACAAAACCCAACATACTTTCTGAATAAAATTCATGGAAAATTTAGAGATACATGGGGCATGCTCAACAAAATAAAGGCTGCTTAAAATAAACCCACAGCCAACAACTTGATTTCCACTCAATTAGGAATGAAACAAAATATCTGCTTTCCATGGCTGGAGCGATGGCTCAGCAGTTAAGAACACTGGCTGTTCTTGCAGAAGACCAGGGTTCGTATCCCAGCACCCACATGGCAGCTAACAACTGTCTGTAACTCCAATCCCAAGGGATCCGACAGCCTCTTCTGTCCTCCCCAGCACTGCATGACATGGGTGCACTTACCTACATGCACGCAATACAAACATAAAAATAATAAATAACATACTAAAAAATAAAATAAATAAAAACGTCTGATTTCCACTCCTGTTCAGTACAGTGCTTGAAGTCATAGATAAAACAATAAAACAAGAAAGAAACCAAATGGGATACAAATAGGAAAGAAGTCAAAGTATCCTTATTTTCAGATGATGTGATTGTATACATAAAATACTCTAAAGACTCTACCAGAAAACTCTTAGAGCTTATAAACACATATTGCAAATTATCAGGTTAGAAAATTAACACAGAAAAACCTGTAGCCTTCCCACAACAACAAATGTACCGAGAAAGAAATCAGGGAAATGATCCCATTCACAATACCCTTAAAAAATAAATAGTTCCTCAGCTAAGGTTGGGTCTGCTTACCCATTTCCCCACTTCTATGCTGGGTTTTTGTCTGGTTGGAGTCTCAATGTGTCTCGCGTATTCTGTCCCTATTACTGTAAATTCAGTAATGCTAAATAAGTTGACCAAGCTCCAGTGGATGAACTCACACTGAGGAACATCTGAGGACACAAACTCTTAACATATATGACAGAGTGCATGAAATTCGGTGTTGGTGGGGTTTGGGAGTGAGTCTAAATGTCATTGAGATGTAGTGTATGAAATGCACAAAATTCCATTTAAAATGGAAAAATATGTAAAAAAAAAATAAAGCATTTTGAAATAAGTCTAACCAAGGAAGTGAGTTGTATAATAAAAATTTTAAGATATTGAATAAATAAACTGAAGAAGATACCAGAAGATGGAAAGACCTCCCATGCTTATGGACCAGTAGGGGTAATATTGTGAAAATGGGCAATCCTAATAAGAGCAATCTCCAGATTCAATGCAATCACCATTAAACTTCCAACATAATACTTTACAGAAATTGAAAAAATAATCTCAAATTTCTTAAAGAAACAGGATATCCAAAACAATCCTCAGCATAAAAGAAATGCTAGAGGCCTTGCCACCCCAGGTATAAAATTGTAGTACAGAGAAACAGTCATAAATGCAGCATGTTACTGACATAAAAACAGACATGTTGGTCAATGGAATAGAATTGAGGATCCAGATGTAATTCCATACACTTAGAGCCACATGATTTTTGACAAAGGGACAAAAAACACGCATTGGGGAACAGAGTATGTTCAACAAATAATGCTTGTAAAACCTGATAGCTACATGTAGAAGAATGATAATAGATACTTATTGCCCTACACAAAACACAATTCTAAATCAAAGACCTCAACATTTGCTTTTAAAGACAAAGTGTCACTATGACTCCTAAGCTGGCCTTGAACTTGTGATCCTTTTTCCTCTGCTTCCTGAATTCTGGAATAACATAAATGCACTAACATGATCAGTTTTGAACTTCAATAACTTTCACTGCTATCTATCTGGAGATACCATACAAAAAAGGAAAATATAGTAGACAGTAGGAAAATGTTTGGTTTCAATGATTCGAGTGAATTGAATATTCAACAATGCACTTGAATATCCAATTCCATATCGATCTGAGAAGATCGAACTGAAGATACAGATCTTTGAGTCAGGAGTAAAATATATAGGATCTTCAGACAGACAATTTGAATTTGGAACTTGATTGCACCAATCACCAACTATATGACCTCCAGAGTCACTGCCCTATTTATAGGTAGTTTCTTCATTTACGTACAATAAGTTTACAAGCTCTATGAGCAGACGAGTTACTATTCATAATTTACTGTTTATAAAGTGCTTAGACAGTGCCTGGCTAATATATATGTGGCAGTATAATAAAGGGTTGGAAGTAATAATTAAAATAATGGGCACAGATGAATCATTTGGAAAGAAAGAATAGTTTGAGAAAATAAGACCAACAATGACAGAAATCTGAGGAACTGACTTATTTAATGAATCAAGTGAGGAATGGTCTTTCAAAATATACCAAATAGACCAAGAAGCAGGAAGAAATAGATCAAAGTATATTGGCTAGCACTCAGGAGAGAATAATTAAAAATGTTGCTGACTAAAGATTTTCAGTATGAGATAAACAGCATCAATCACAATAAACAGCTGCATGAGTTGTTTAATGAGATCACAGGATGTTGAGTTTCATCCCCTAGAATTCTCTTCAGGAATGGTCATGTTCCTTTTATTCTCGTTGTTTCAAGTGTTGACTATAGACATGCCTCTTTGAATAATTGCCTCTGCTAAAGAGAACCTTGTTACACATGGGGATGAATCCCCTTCCCCACCTTTTTGCCACAGCTGAGATGCCGTAACTGATTATCATGGAGCAAAAAGTCCCATGTCTGTCTCCTCCCTTTGACCATCTTTGAAACTTATTCCAAATTTAGACTGAAATATGCTAAGACCTTTATTTAAATTGGGTATAACAGTCTTAACTCCTCACTTGCCTAATTTTCTTCCTTTCCTTCACAGATATAGCTCCTGCCTTCTAAAATCTGGATACCCCAACCAGTGGCACTGAATTCTGTAAGGTTAATAGTGATGAATATGAGAAGCTATGCTGTAAAAGAGAAGAATTGAATGAATGGTAAGCCGTGGAAAGGACAACTTTATCAAGTAAGTTTACTTTCGTAGGTTGGCCAAACACAATAGAACACTGGGGGCTGGCCACTTACTGTTATTTGTTTGAAAAATAAATGTCTGTTATATATACAAATGTCTATATTTGAAAGTTAACCTTAAAGAATGAAGAGAAGTTTAATAATATCACTTTCAGTTAATATGATGGGATGAACTCAAATAGGTATTCATTTAGGAGTTAGGGGAATGAGTAACCCCATTTGGATTTTTTGATACAGGCTCTCATATAGTCCATCGTGGCCTCCTACTTGCTGGTTACCCAAGGGTGACCTTGTATTCCACATCTCCCTGCTGCTGTCTCCCAAGTGCTGGGATTATATATGTGTGCTACCAAGCCTGGTAAATGACTCCATTTTTAAATGTCAAGGTGAACGTTCGAATTAGCTACCTTATTAGTCGCCTGAATTTGAACAGTACACCTAAGCTATTTACCTACATTGATTACGTATACCAAATAAAATTGCATTTTCGAAAGCACTCCTCCACATTACAGAGCCAGTTAAACTATAATTTCTACCTGTTAATCGGTCTGAAACCAGTTCTCAGTTGCTTAATTGAGGGATTTTAAAGACTTAGGAAAGTTGTTACGTGTAAATTCAAGTAAAATTTTGAAAAAGTTTATACAGGGAACGAAACTTAGACTCAAAAAACTCAAATGAGGACGATAGGATTAGTTTTAACTGAGGCATGTTACGAGAAAGAAGGAAAGAGTTAAATTCAGAAACAAAGCTTCAAGAAATGGGGGGGGGGGGGGGAAGACAACAGAGAAGAACCAAGGATGCTGTACTAGTCACAGGCAGGAAGCCAAACTTTTCTCAAGCAATGAGTTTAAAGCAACTACAAAAAGGCCCGCCGACGTCTACTTGAAACAAGAAGCGGAGATAAACTTTAAGCCACTGGCGAGCACAAACGCCAAAAACTGACGATTGACCCCGGAAACATTTTATTTTGCGTAGGAGACCAAAGAACTTCCTTTTTGATTCGTTCTTTGATCCGGAAGAAGAGACCGCGAACTTCGCCAGGGATTGGGCTACGTCACAGAGGCGGGGCCTCGGCGAGCCACTCACCGTAGTAAAGGGACATGACGACACGGAAGTGGCCCGGCTGAGCCTGTCATTCGCTCGCCAGTGGTGGGGCAGGAGCGGTTGGCGGCGCAATGGCCAGGCTGTCCCCAACCGCGGAGGACGGAGCCACTAACGCCACGCCCCCCGCGCCAACTTCCCTTGGTTTGACACGTAGCTCTTGGGGCGGAGACTTGTCTAAATGTCCTGGAGCCTGAGGCGGGGAGGGTGCGGTCGCCGCTTGCTGTCTTCCGGTTTTCAGGGCGACTTCCCTCCGAAGCCGGGAGAGACGCCCTCCCGAGCTCGAGCCGTGCTCCACGGTCTGTTAGCGTCAAATCCCCCCTCCCCCCGTGGCTGCCACAGCCCCACAGTCCTCGCTGTGTTCTCGCCCCCTTGGGAAGGCCATCCCCACACTGCCCACTGCCCTGCCCCCGTCCACTCCTCTAAAATGTCCAATAATCTACAGAAAGTCTTCCTGAGACCCGCAGAGGAGAAATTAGGCCCCGGCGCGCAGTGGTAAGTACCCTGCTAGCCCCTCCGCGCCCGCCCCTCGCCGGGTCTCTGAGCAGGAGGTTGGAAGGCCGAGGACAGGGCGCGGGGCGATTCGGAGGAGGCTGGCTGCCCGTGTGCGGCTACGGGAGCCTGGTCTCCATGGCGCCGAGCCCTTAGAGAGCTTTCCTCTCCCGGAACGTAAAACGCCCTCGATCGTGACGCAGCCGCTGCCCGGACTCCGCAGCACGGGACACCAGCGTCTCAAGTTTCATAGGCGGACAGGGTAGATACCCACAGAGGAGGAAAAGTAGTATGGCGACGCGCTAGGTACTCAAATCTTTCTAGAAGATTCACAAGCACAGGCAGCAAAACGCATCGCGGATTAGCAAGTGTACCCGTGGTGGCGCTGGACTTGCAGTGAAAATAGTCGCATTTTAATGTATTTAGTGAGAAAGAAAAGATATAAAAATGAAGTATAAGTTTTTAGAACAAGGAAGTTGAATATTTCAGATTTTCGAAACTAATGTGATAAGAATGCAGCTCGATGGATGTCTGTCTATTCCGGGGTACTGTTGGGCAATAACTTAAAAAATTTATCAATTACAATGTTTTTAAAGTATATGTTATTCCAGATGAAATAAACCAAGAACAACAAAATGTTCACTTAGGGCGAATGTTTAACTTTTACCTTCCATAGTGTATTACGTTTGATGAAAAAGAAAAGATTATTTAATAAGTCTGTAGAATATACATAAACGGCAAAAATCGTGAAAGGGAATTTGCGTTTGAGGAAAATCAGGCTGTTGTTATTCTCAGCCTTGTTGGTTAGTATTTATGAGACTAGTGTTTCAAGTTCCTGTGCAAACAATAATTGCACGTAGGAATATTTTGATAACTAAAAAAATACCACATGAGAAATAGTGTAGACAAAAACATTATTTAACCGTTTGCTACTGTTATAAGAGTACCACGTTGTGTACGGATTTCAGCCCAATTACAAGTAGATATAAAACCTAATTGTAATACAGAAGTAATGGTGTGTTTTTTCTTTTAATGGATCCCTTTAAATCTTGGGCCAAAGTGATCATCCTACTTCTATTTCTCAATAACTGGGTCAGCAGGCACTTGCTTCTGGGCAGGTGTAATGGAGATTCCTTAAACGCAGGCATAATGCTACAAAAGGAAACAGTCACTAAAACTAGTCAGCGAACTTGAACTGCTTGGAAAGAACCATTGTATTGCATATCACTAGAGACAGCTCTTTGATAATGTGTTTTTATTTTGTGGAAGGTTGGCGTAAGAGGCAGAAATTGTACCCTATATATAGATGCTAAAGTAGAACTGCTTTTTAATTTTTCCTGCATTATTTTAGTTCCTGATATTTATGACATCTGATGTATCCTGTAAGTTAGAGAAATTGTTTAAGATTTCATTCTTTTTCAATACCAGAAAAAGAGATATTTCAAAGTACTTATTGTGTACTTGGGCTATTTGAACCACTTTCTAATCGTTTTGGTTAATTTGGGGCTTTCAAAAAAATTAAAAATTGAATTATGTCTTGATTACTTTAAAGTCATTTCAAATTCATTAACCCATTAGTCTAGTTGTTAGTGTTTTTGTTTTAATGACATACTTTTTCTTTAAATTTACCAAGATAATTATCACGTAAATATTTGGGGTATTTACCAGATGTTTTCCCAAGGATGTTTGACACTTTCATTACCAGCTGCATATTTGATTCTACTTTGTTTTAATAACATCAACATAATGTCTAAATGTAATTACATAAATAATTTGATTACTATTGCTTCTTTTGATTTATTAGAAGTTTAGTTTTCTGATATTTTGATGGTACTGTCATTTTCTTTGTAAAATGAATAGGATTTTATTTTTTGTAGATGTTTATACTTGTAATTGCTCCTTTAAATTTTTTTTCCAGTAATGTGATAAAGGATGTTTATTATTTGATTTAAGTGACTTGGGCATAAAAAATAGAAAATGCAATCTTAGTTTTATAAGTGCAGAGGGAAAATCGGGATGGTATTTGTGGTGTAGTACCCATTTAATTTATTCAGGTTTGCATTGAGTCCCTCTTTACTCAATTATGTACTACAGGCAGCATAAGTAAATAGCTCTTAAGGGTTGGTTTGTTCTACTAAAGACTTCATTTGGTGATTGATTGTTTAGAAGATTTTAAGGAAAGGATTGTTATGGTTAAGTGTGTATTTTGTATATCTGATGGCAGTGTTGATTTGAGATGAGAGGCTATGATGATTCTATTTCATATGTCTTTTCAGAGCTTGAGAGCCTGAATTAGGTGATTGGATTTTAAATTAGGATTATATTCAAAGAAATAGAATGGAAAATAGGCAGAGCAATTAGTAAATTGCCATTTTTTTTTTTTTCGAGGCCAGTTTTCTGGGTCAGTGTAGATGAATTAGATGAGACAAAGAACACACAAAAAGAGAAATCAAAAAGGTAGTTCCATCTGAAACTCAGGGTCAGAGCTGAAAATAAAGGTTTAAGGGGTATTAGCTTAGAGGTATTGTCACAAAAGCCCATCATGATAAATTCCACAATAATAGGAATTAGGATGTCATGTAATTGGCACTGGGTTCTTATCCTCCCTTAACTTTTTGTTTTTCATTTTCAAATGTCCAACTAAAATTACTGCCCTTAACAGATGATGTGGTTTGCTTAGAAAGAAAACGTTTCATTGTTGGTTTGTATATGTTTAGCTCTGCAAGTTTTATCTTTACATTTGTGATTTGTACAAGAGTGGGCAAAGGAGGGAGAGACAGATAAACACTGTAAGCTAAACGAACACTATCATTGCTAGTTTATGCGGTTGAATTTTGGATCCTCCTTTAGTGAGAGTTTATGCTCAAATACATAAAATAGATAGGGCTGCTGAAGAAAAGTATAATTCTGAATAAGTTATTGAATATTATAATCCCTTGCATTGAATATATTTATATAAACTATAAAATGTTAATGGAAAAATGAATATCCATTTTGCTGAACTGTTAGGGTTAGAAATAATGACAACTGGTACCTATCTATTAATGTAAATAATATGTGGTATATATTATTGTATGTATGATAACATTTGGTCCATATGTGTTTTCATGATGTCATAGATAGGAAAAAGAGAAACAGTTTCATAACACCTGAAAAAATATATTCTGCAAAACTGTAAAGGGCTTATTAGCCTCCAAAGTTCTCATCATTTCATTTCTAATACAGGAATAATTACATAATCAATATTAGAGTAGTAAATGTCAGAAACTTTATAATTTTGTTGATAATGTTTAATAGGACTCAATTTTCTTGTTTTGAGATGACTTAGCTCTGTGTTGACCAGCTGTTCTTGAGCACCTCTTCTCAAGTAATCCTTCTACTTTAGTCCCCCAAGTAGATGGAACAACAGATATATGCCACTGCACCTAGCTTAAATAGACTTTACCTGATTCATTTCTATATTCTTGAAAATCAATTGTGCATTTAGTGGAATATGGTATATGTCATGGTTCCTGGAAAGTATTTCCTTTTGTCTTCATAGCTAACTTTATTTTGCCCATTTAACAGATGAAAAAAATCAGATCTGTGAGTTTAAATAAAGTTTTCAAAAATCAGTCAACTAGTATGTAGAAGTGCTAGAATTAGAAGTCTGTAAATCTTTCTAATATATTCCTCTTTTCTCTCTTAAAGTCTTAAAGTATGTTCTTTTTTGTAAAAAAGAAAAAAAAATACAGTTTCTCAGTTCAGGTACCAGGTGGTTTAAAGTAGTTAGCTGATAATTCTTTTTAAGTAACCAAACTGGAGCATTGAATGAAGAATCTTGATCTTGTTTTAGTTCTTACATTAGCCACAGAATGTGATCTTTAGGAAAAGGGAATATGTGTACCAGGTGTGGTGACACATATCTTTTATCCCAGCACCCAGGAGGCAGGGGCAGGTGGATTTTTGTGATATCAAGGCCAGCCTGATCTACATAGTGAGTTACAGGCCAGCTGGAACTAGAGGGAGGAGAGTGGGAGGGAGAGAAAATGAAATATCTTTAAGAAAATAATACCTTTGTAGGATTTTAATTAAACTCTTAAATGGAAAATTCCTTGTAAAGCTGGGAAACATTGATTGATTGAAGGAATATGTATGGATTTCATTCTTTTCTCTTTTATCTTTAAGTGTTCTGCATTCCAGTTTAATAAGAATCCATTACATTTTGTTGCCAGGAAACCAAGGATTTTAAAAAATTATTATTATTGCTTGTAGGAATCATTTAGCTAACTTGCTCATTTGCTGTATTAGACACAGGATATATGACTAGGATAATCTGCCCTTAAGGAAGTTGTGATCTGTGCTAGATTAAATGGATCACCATTAACATATAGACTTAGAAGAAGCTGCTTTTTTTTTTCTTTTTGGAGAGGAAGTGGAAGAGGAGGTGATCAGATTTGAAACTATGTATACAATATAACTTTTCTGTAAAGCAAAATTATAGAGACCATCTAATGTAACATGTAAGATATTAGAAATCTGTGTAATTTGTTCAACCTCCATGTCAGTTGAAACACACTTGCTTTTACGCAAATAATTGTAAAGACGTGGATTTTTTTTTCTTGTTGAACATTCTAATTTGTTAGGCAGATTTTACTAATAAATGAAGCACATAATTATATCAGAGGAGACTAAACAAAATAATTGAGTTAGTTTACTTGAATTGGCAATTGGGAAAAACTACATTGTTTTTTATATATTTTTGAAGGTTTACTATGCTTGATATTAAAAAACAATTGCATTATTATTGATATAGTTTCCAGTTTTATAGAATTTCAGTGTTACCAGGAAAACAATATTTAATTTCTGAAAAAAAAAAATAGATAGTTGGGGCTGGAGAGATGACTCAGTAGTTAAGAGCACTGGCTGCTCTTACAGAGGACCAATGTTTGATTACCAGCACCACCAGCACCCACATGGTGGCTAACAATCATCCCTCACATCCCTCACAGAAGTTCGCCCTC